CACACAGGAGGCTGCAGTGACAGGCACAGGCGGGCTGCTGTTTTCGCTAGATGGGGGGGGGGGGCTCCGGTGTCCTGGCCCCTCTGCTGTCTCCTCCCCTTCACGGCGCTCCCTACACTCAGCGCAGGGTCGGGGCGCTGAGGCCACAAGTATGTTCTTGGGGGTGGGAGCCCCAGAAATACGCTGAGGAAGTGGGCCAGACTCCCCGTGTGACTGGCGTGTGGAGGGAGGTTCACGTTCCAGGCCTGACAGCAGCGTCCCTGGGCCCATCGTCCCTCCATGCAGCCGGGGTGGGAGCCCCGCCTTCTCCAGTCCGGGCTGGCTGCGCGGCCGGGGGCCCTCCCCCTCGGAGGCACTGGGTGGGGAGGGAAGCTCCGAGCCCGTGGACCCACATTTACACCCGCCTCTTACTTACTAGTGACCTTGAGAATGACATGTGTCTGGAAGGCAGGCTTCCCTTCAGGGCACACCCCATCCTGTGCGCGCGCGCGCGCACACACACACACACACACACACACACACACACACACACACACGGGGCGGCGCGGCGCTGTTTCTCACTCAGATCCCATCAGTCCCAGGTGGCCCGCCAGTTACCAACGTGGAGCTTTAAAAATATATATATATATGAGAAACTTTAAAATGGAGAGTTCTAGTCTTACTTATATGTCTCCTTATTGACTGGCGACCACTCGACTCCTGGGGCCTCAGCCAGCCCTGGCCACAGCCTCCCCCGTGCGGAGGGCCAGCTAGGAAAGCCGCCCCGTCTGCAGAAGCTCCGTCAGGTGGGTAACTGGGCGCGGCCGCCGTGCAGACAGGAGGTCCCAGGCAGGCCGGCCGGCCGCTCCTCGGCCCCTGCGGGGACACCTGGCACGTGCCCCAGTCTGCCAGCAGCACAGGCCAACTGCCCACGGCTCAGCCATTCTCAGCGCCTGCGTTCTGATGGCTCTTCCGGGACGGACTGCAGCCTGCTGGCCTGGCCGGTGCTGAGCCAGCGGCAGGAGTCCGCGGCCACCAAGGGGACCAGCCATCTTAGTCCAAAATCCCACACGTGGCCGCTTGGCTTGGCCCCTGTGGTTTCTAAGGGCAGGAAAGTGTGGCTTTAACTTTCTACAAAAACAAGGCCGCACCAAACCACTGGGCAAGCTGGTGCCCACAGCCCACATGGACGTGCCCGTTGTCTGCCCGTGGGTGCTGGGTGGGTGTGGCTGTGCCCGTCCTGTCCTGCTCCACCTCACAGGAAGCCCAACACGCCAACCAGAGGGAAGGGCATCTTCACAGGAAGCAGCGTTCTTGTATTTTATTCAAATTTAAAAATCACATTTGGATTCTTCTACCAATATGATAAGCAGCACAGTCCTACGCAGAGCACACGCAGCTGCGCAGAGTGGACCCTTCCGGAATGAGAGTCACTGCTGGGCAGCCCTGAGGCCCAGGAACGTGCTGGGGCCGCCGCCACCCCAATAGGCCAGAGTCGGGTGAAGGCAGCGCCAGCCCCTCGCCATCACGTGACAGGACCACTCCTGCCGGCCGCGCCCAGCCCCGCACATCACCTGACAGCAAGGCTGGAGCTTCTCTGGCCCTTTAAGCCAGTGGTCGCCAACCAGTTAAGCCCCCCTGCCTTTTGGTCTGTGCGGGAAGGTTGGTTTCTGCCCTTTTTATAACTTCCCACCTCAGCGGGATGAGGGCCTCTGTGCACTGCCTGTCAGACTGCTGCTGTCAGGCTGCCTTTTAAACTACCTTTTTAAACACAGTATTAATTAAATTCAGAAACAAACAGGAATACAAAAACATTAATCCATTAAATTTTATTATTAAATACATCTTAGATTCTTATCCCGTACTTTTACCAAAAGGCACTACAATTTTGGCAAATATCTAAATAACGGAACTATCGACCAAAATTCTGCAGAACTTTCTGAAATGAGCCAGAGAAGCCCATGGAGTGGAGCTCATTGGCTCCCGCACAGAAACCTGACCCTCCAGCCGCATGCCGAGGGGACCTTCCGCGGCCTCAGGCTCTTCAACGGTTCAGTGGAGGAGTGCGTACACGCTGGCCCCATGCGCAGTCAGTGTGCGGAGGCGGCGCATTCGGGTGGGGACGAGGTGACCCTTTCCGAGGATGGGCCTTTCACGTGTGCTCTGCTGCGAGCAGCCGCGGGAAAGCAGCTCCAGACGCGGACGCCGATGTCGCTGATGGCCCAGCAGCCCTGTCGCCTTCCTCTGATGTCCGGGTCAGCGCCATCCTGGTCCCACCAGGGCTACTAGGAGCTTATGAGAAGGAATCTCACTGTGATCTTTCCTGCAAAGAAACAGCAATAAAATCACTCCCGCTCAGAGGAATTCTTGTCAACCAGGACCTTCGTGTGCCTCCCGCTCTGGAGATGGCCGAGTGCAGGGCAGGAGGGGACCCGCCACGTCTCACAGCCCCGAGAATGGGTTTGCAGCGCACACGTGGCTGTGAAAGCCCGCGCTGATACCAGAGCCCGTGTCAGAGCCACACACACGCCAGCTGCTTCCAGCCTCCACACCCCACAACCGGAGTGGCGCTGCCCGCACTGGCCCGCGGAGCTGTACGATACTGCCCACAGCCACCACAGGACCACATACAGACGGTGCCCGCTGCACGGGTCTGGCGGCCAGCGCTGCGGCCTCTTCGCGGAGTGGAGTTGCAGCCTCTGGGCACTAGGAACAGGAAGGCTTTTTGCTCGAGGGCTCGACTCCTGTTCCTGCTGAACTGAGCCAGTGTGTAAATGAGAACTGATATCAGCTCAGTAGGCACCGGAGGGCGGGTCCAATCGACAGCCGTAGAAGCAGTGCCTCGGCTGGAGCTGCCGTCGTCCTGGGGCTGCAGGAGACAGAGACCTGGGCTGCAAACACAAGAGAGAGTCACGGTGCCCCCGAGGAGCACGGGGGCTCCACACGCACCCAGCCCCACGCACATGCAATCCCCGTGACAGTTTTCCTCATCTCCTGTGATGCATTTGGTTTTAGTGTTTTATAAGAACAACGTTTGCAGCGAAAAACACGTTTGACCTTTCAGAGAGCTATCTAGTTAGTCATCGTTCTGTAGCCTTTCGGTACATTCCTTGCATTGGTGACAAGAGAAAGTGCATCGTCGCGCTGAGCAGGTCTCTCCTCCTCCAGAATCGGGCTCGCACCCGAGCTGACCGCTCAGCAGCAGCCTCTGCCCCAGCGGCTCCAACTTACTGTCCCATCTCACCTTCTCTTCAGGTGCAGAACTTAGCCACTGTGAACAAAGCGGAAACCAGTCACTGTTCACCAATCAGCTAAGCTCTGCACCTCGGCAGAGAGGTCTCCAGCTGGGCACAACGGGGGCGGGAGCGTCTTCGTGGCCGCTGGCTTCTTCTGTTTCCGGAGAAGAGCTACCACGTGCACCGTTCTCCCGCTGCAGAGAGCGAGCGGCTCTGGCTCTGGAGAGCAGCCAAGGTCGTGGTTGCGTGGTAATCCCTGGCAATGTGATTTTAATCTTAAGTCACAAATCAGCATGCCAGGAACCCAAGCAGCCAGAGCACTCTGGAGCGGCCGTGCCTGCGGCCGAGCCCACACCGCACACACCTGGTCCTTGGTCACGAGGCGACGACACCACCTCCAGGCCTGCCTCACTACCACATGGTTTTATTTTTTTGTCATTCATTTCCGTGCTGTCCTAGAGGAACAATTTTTTAAAGAGATGCCCATACAAACGCCAGTGCAGTTTTGGAACACAAGCTAGGAAATGCACCGACAGGCCTCCGGCAGGGTTGGTGGAGACGGCCGTCCCTCCTGTCCCCCTGGGCTCAGGGATGTTGCTGGAAGGTGCAAGTCCCTGGTCTTAACTGAGGGGGGGCAGGCAGAGGGGATGCATGTGACCCCCAGTCCATCTGGAAGGGGAAGGACAGGGAGGCGAGAAAATAGCAGACTCCTCGCCAGGCCCACTCCTTTGCCTGCTTGAGGCAAAAACTGCACCAGAGTCGTGAGAGCTGCGTGCCCACTGTGGTTCCCACGGCTGAGAACAGGGGACGGGCAGGAAGTCTGCCCAGGGCAGTTTCACACACTTCAAGAAACACAAACTCCCCGTGAAATTGAACATAGAAAGAGAAATATGACTTATACTGGTTACTATAGGAGGTTGGCAACAAGATAACTGCTGTGTTTTGTAAACTGGCCCATCCATGACCAGGGCCTGGAGCCGCCTGGGAATGCTGTTGGGGTCATCTGCACACAGCTGTCTCACTACCAGAGGCTCAATCTCCGCAGCTACTCCTACCATTTCCTTTCCCAGCAAACACAATGCCTCGCCTCTCCTGGGAGGTGCGCACTCAGAAAGGTGTTCCTCCTCAGCATTAGGCTGCTTCCCAGTAAGTAAGGTTCTTAAATATCCTGGACAAAAATGATTTCCCAAGACAGAAGCAAACTAAGCGTCCAACAATGGGTTAAGAAGACCAACATAAAACATTAAATATCCATTAAAACTATATTTACAGAGAAGCTATATAACATGAAAAATGATTGAGATCTATGGTCACGTTTTTAAAAGGATACAAGATTAGACATACCCTATTTATAGCATGTAAAACCTGGAAGAAAAACAGACCTAGAAATGATGGTTGTTAGAGAGAAACAACACACTTATAACCCCACAGTTCTGCTTCAAGACGTTCCCGACCATTGCTAAATTACTGTTTAAATACAGAGCTCTCCATGGAAAGCCTAACTGCTGGGATGTAAATCTCCACAGGTCAATTCCAAGCACAATTAACAGGAAAAGCAATTCAAATAATTCAGGACTTCCTGCCAACTAAGCCTGGGAGGCTCAGCTCAGCGAGGCTGCCCGCGGACGCAGCTCCGAGGCCGGAGGCAGGCTCTGGCGGGAGGACCTCCTCCCAGCCTCCCAGGTCAGCGGGGTCAACCTGAGCGACAGCAAGTTCTCACGCAGCCCGGGAGTGGCCACTGGCCACGCTCTCCTGCGTCAGCCTTCACCTTGGAGGCCAGGGGCCAGCACTCGTGCCGGCTTCTCAGTCTACCTCCTAACCACCCCCACGATGTGCTCCCCCCAACTTCTGTTACTACAAGTGATAAAGCTGAAGTGGCCAAAGCTGTGCCAAGCAGAGCTGTCCTGCCTGGGTGGACAGCTCTACTCCTGGTGACCACTCCCAGGCGCCCGCGCTGGGGCAGAGGACTGACTGCTGTGGGTGCTCTAGGATCACTGTTTGGTTCTTCATTTATGTGGCTCCTATGAGAAATCTGGTTAGAAACGAACAATGGGGCAAGTAATGGGAGAGTTTACCTCTTTAAAACAGCATCTCGGCCACCACCTGGGCTGAGCATCTGTCCATCTGCTCCTTGGTCAGCTGGAAGCATTGGCGGGCGAGCTGCTGCTGCCTGGCGTCCTCGCTCACCATCAGCTCCCCGTAGAGGTAGATGCCCATGGCCTGCAGGGGCAGAGGCCAGAGAGCATGAGACAAAAGGAATTATGTGTCCACACTTGCAGTCTGTTTGTTTCACACAAACGTGCTGGTCCAGAAATCACAGAAGACCCGAGAAAAGGTAAGACAGTTGAACAGTTGTACTTGAGGAACCGTAGTCTTCAACTCCTCTTTCTTGCTTTCACTGAAACTCTAAGGAATTCTCAGCTATCAATTCCATCAACAGAACCGTGGTGATTTAACTGATGACAAAGTGGTGACAGTGAGCGTTTCTCTAGCGATGGCCGTGCTCTGGAGGAGAGGGGGTCTCGGTGACGCTAACGGCAGCACCGAGGTGCTGTGTGCAGGTCACAAGACATCGGCTCCTTCCCAGGACAGGTGGCCCTCGGCACTGCTGGGCCGCGCAGACCACCACGCCACACGCAGCCACGGGCAGGCAGCAGCATCACGCCACCTGGGCAGATGCCCACTGCTTCAGCCCAGCCGACCGCGGTCCCTCCACTGCGGCAAACACTGGCTCTTCTGTTCCAGACACAATGCTGCGAAGACCTACGTCTGCATTTTTCCAACAGTTTTAAAAACAGCCAATTATGCTCTGAAGACCCAAGACCCCTCGGGTTCTGCCTCCTCTCTCCACGCTTGGCTGTGCCATGGGTCCCCTCTGCTGGGGCAAATTAAGAGAAGGACCTCAAAGACAGCGCGAGACAAAAACTTGTCTAGTTAGAGGCTCACAATTTCTTTCCCGTAAAGGCTGAGACGTGGTAATCCGTATTTAGAAAAGTTCATGGTTCTAAATATATTGCAGTTAACTCTGGTTTTCAAATAGACCTTCATTTTCTCCTGCATTTTGTCCTCCTTATACTCCACTCTGTGTTTCCAAACACCTCCTGCTCCACTGTGCAAATGTGACATTTCTTCTGGTACAAAGTCATGCATTTTTCTTTGTGGGAATAACAAGCCCTTCCGTGCTGGCAGCCCCCCATCCTCAGGCCCTCTCAAAAGCTCCTTTGTTTGCCCTGCCCCCGCTCTCCGCCCGACTGGAACACGCTCCATGCCGTCGGGCCCTGGCTGGGCAGAAAGCTCGCTCATAGGCACACACTGGTCAAGCCCACAGGCCGAGCTGCAGGCTGACTTCCAGCCGCACAGACCCCGTGGCACATGTCCCGCCACGGACAGCCACGCCAGGACAAGTGTGGGTGGGCGCAGAGCGGCACGGAGGACATCTCCGAACATGGCCACCCACGCACGCTTCCTGCGGGCTCCCGGGAGGATGACCACTTTCCTCTGGTGAGCAGGGAGGAAAGTTCTCGCAGGAAAGACACTCCGCACAGGCCTGTCTGGCGTGACAGGTGCAGACAGACAGGCAGACTGCTCCCGCGGCTGGGCTCTCCATCTCGCCTTCTCACAGGCTTTAAGTCAGGACCAGCGAGGACAGAGAGATGCACCAGCATGACTGAGCCACCCTGGACCCGAGGCCTGTGATGCCGTGAAGTCTGCACAGGCCTCGCTTGGTCGCGGCCACGGCCACCCCAGGTGAAACCAATGGTGCCTCTGAGGACCAGGGCTCAGTGCGTTAAGGGACACTGAGCTCTCAAGGAAGAATCTGCTCCTACCAGCCCTTCAGACTTCGGGAAAATGTTTAAGTATTTGTTACCCTTGGGTCCCGGACAGCCGGCAGCAGCACTGGCAGAACCTGAGCTGGGAGGACGACCTACCTGGTCCTCCTGAAGGAACCTCTCCACGGTTTTGTACGCTGTTGTGTATTTGTGCTTGACAACGAGTTCACACCACCGATGGCGAACCTTCACAAACGAGAGAAAACCCAGTAAGCAACACACCGGCAGGTTCCCTTGGCCGCAGGAGTGTCAGACTCAGAGCCTTCTGTGTCCGCGTCCCCGCTTATCCTCGGGGGGGGGGGGGGGGGGGAGTGTGCCAGGACCCGCGATGCCTGAAACCTCAGAGAGGGTGGGCTATGACCAAGTTCCAAGTTTAAGGCCTTTGCCACCTCAGCTAACCACTATCACACCGTGGCTGTAACTTTTGCAGTCTGAAGCACAAAAGCAAAACTGGCCCAAATTTCTTTTCCTTCTTCACAATTTCAAAAATAGAAAATCCATTCCTACCACAGATCTCAGCAACCTCAGCTATGATTTCTTTCTTTCCTTATTGAGAGCTTTCATGTTTTTACACTAAGGAAGCTCCATACGGCTCCTCTCTGGGGGATGCGAGCTGTGGCACCCTGCTCCGAGCTCTGGCCCGGGAGCACCGCACGGGGAGGTGCCGTTTCAGCGGCCTGACTGCAGAGGCCGCCAGTGACCCACGTGCGGGGAAGGCTCCTGTCCGGCCTGGAGACACGGGACAAAGGAATGAGTCACGTCCTGGTGGGGGACAGAGCGAGAGGGTTCGAGATTTCCTCATACTACTCAGAATGGCATGCAACTTAAATCGTAACAACTGTTTATTTCTGTAATTTTCCATTTAATGTTTTCAGACTGCAGTTGACTATGAGTAACTGAAACCACAGATAACGGGGGACTACTGTACTCTTTGGAGAGTATTAACATTGTTGGCACTTTCAGCTTTAAATTTCATTTAAATTTACTTAACCATGTTCCTCATTAGGAGGACTGTTAGTCAACTTCAGGGGAGGAAAGTGCATGTTTCAGTTGGGAGTTGTGATGTTTTTAAAGATTTTGCAAAACAACAGGTAAACGAAAAATGCAGCTAAGAAACTAAAGGCACATCCCCGGCCAGGCGGCAGGTACGCTGCCCACTGGGCTGTCCATGAAGGTTTCCTTTGAAACCACAACTTCACTTCCTGGAATAACTGATATGGTTCAAAGCTGCTGATGGTTACAATGAAGAGAGGGAGGCCGGTCGACACTCTCCACATTCCTGAGAAGAGGCAGAGCGCCTCCTGGGGGGTTTGGGATGTCTGGGGGGGGGGGGGGGGGAGCAGGGAGAAGACCAACGTGATGCAAGTAGCTCGCACTGCAGGTTTGTACAACATGCGGAAAACAGATGAGCTAAAGGTGGGTGCTGTTTAGTAAAGACACTTTCCTAAAGACTTTGCCAGCACCCCCTCCCTCACACACACCCCTACAGACGATGTGGAGGTGAGACCCCAGCCCTGGCTGCCTCTGCTGACAGCGGCAGAGCCCTGGCATTTCTCAGCCCTGCGGCGCGTTCTTCACATGGAAATCCCACCTGGATCTGGTTTTCAGAGTCGTTTCAGGCCAATTCTACTGCATCACAGGTTATGCTCAGGTAGCAACGACCATGTTGGTCCACATTGTGATCCACGTTGGCTACACATGGAAGGGACTGTGCATTTGGAAAAGCCGCCTTCCATCACTCTGTTTTACTGGCCTTTAAAGGAACCCATTGGTGCCAATAGTAAAACACAAGCCATTTCAACGTTTTGGCCGGGTCCCCCATAAATTTTATCATTACCCACCAACCTGGCCAGCTCTCTCCTTCAATCTACTATAAATAGATTTACACGCAATTAGGAATGAAGGAAAGAAACAAATCTTTTGGAAAGAATCCTTCCCGGGGCTACACTGTGCTCCCCGACAGTGTTAATTCGGGGACTCTGGTGGCGCTGCCCTTGGCTGTGGGCAGCCAGGTCCTCTGAATCTGTAAGGACGGGATACCAATGAGCTTTTACACGAGGAGGGAATGTCAGAGGTGCACGGGAAGGAGCTAACAGCCTGGGGCCATCACCACGAAGGGAAGCTGCTCGGACGAGACGGGCCTCGGCAATCTTTCCATCTTCAATAGAACGCTCTTTCCTGTGCAAGCAACAGAAACTAGCAGACCATACATGGGCAAGGGCAGCCCCGGAACTGTTCTGAGCGGAAAGAACACGTGAACAGAGAAGTCAGCTCCTCACACATCCATCGGAGGAAGCCATTAGAGCCACCAGACCCCACTCTCGCAAGTCCACGTCCAGGCCACGCACCGGAGAGACTGCAAAGGGTGCCTCTACCCCTCGTCTTATCCCAACTCATGGTCATCTAAACACCCCAGAACCAACATCCTGCCAAGCACCAGCAGCCTCTCGTTTGTGGGAACGGAGGCTCCCCGTGGCCACCGGTGGGAGGGACAGTTAGAGACGAGGAGGCTGCTCGCCACGGCTCTGGGCCCTCAGGGAAAGCCTCCCTCTCACACCGCACCAGCTGTTAGTGGGTCACGGACGGTACCAAAGGCCTCTGTCAGCTTCAAAATGTTTGAACTCTGATTCGAATCCTGATCACACTGTGCCTTTGACAACGACTGCTTTTTCTCGTTCTACAACTTGGGGGAAATTCACTTTTTAGCCCGGATTTTGAGAATGGAGGTTTTAGTCTCTCATTGTTCCTTCCTGTGCTCCCCTCCACCCTGTATGTACACATACAGAAATAACTCAGCCTTAATCAGACCCCCGATGGGCAGGTGGGGGCGGGATGCCCCGCCCCCTAAGTCCCCCCACAAGTGAAAGAAGTTCCAGGGACAACACACAGAAAGAGGCTCTTCACATCAACATGGAGGAGGCACTGCCACGCCTCTGTTAAAAACAGTGTATTCTCACGATTAATAAGAGACCTAGTCTTCTAACCCCTGAAGGCTACGGGGCGCCCAGCCTCCCCTGCCCACCAAAGAGCGAACAGCAGGCCCTTCATCACCAAAGAGCTGAGGGCATGTCACCGTTTCCACAGCAGGACGCTCAGAAGACACCACAGGGCCCGCGTTGGCCATGGGGAAGGTGAGGTCCAGTGTGGGAGCCTCAGCCAGAGAACTGAGAAGCAGGCCTCTGAGGAAGGCTGTCTGCTCTGCATATCTGCTCTTTATTTTCCGATAAATTACTGGGTGAGGTGGCACCGTTTCTCACTTCCTCGGTGCGATGGAAAATAACCTCCACGCACACCTACAGCAGCCCTGGAGCACGAGGCGCCGCGGCTCCCACGCTCGATCCCTTCATTCAGCCTCAAGAATACCCTGTGTACACACACTATGTCCACACGGACCGAATCCCACTGTACACATTCACATTTTATTACACTTCTGTCTCAACAGGGCTGAGAAATTTAATGACTTTTTCAACTACAACTCAAAGTCATGACGTCACTCTGAACTCATGCTAGAGATCAACAAAAGCCTCACGTCAGCCGTCGTCTTAGCTGAACACCATCCGCAGTCAGGCTGGACAGAAGTAGGGCAAGGACGAGATGGGCAAAGAGGCAGGCAGGGATGCAGGCGTGGGGCAGCGAGGGGAAGAGGAGGAGAAGGGATGGTGCAGAGGGAGAGGCCGGGCTGTGGCGCCGCCTCCCAGGGCACTTGGAGCCTGGCTTCCCAAGGATGTGCCCGTCACTGAGCCTTCAGTGCAGACAGCAGCTGGGCCTGGCCCGTCTCCCGCCATCCAGTGCCAGGACCAGAGTGCCCCGGTACAGAGCCGTGCTGAAGGTTCCAGAACATGTGCAAGCTATTAGCATAGTGCCTGGCACACGAGTACGGAGGGATGATTAATGAGGGGGATGTACCTGGGGTGGGGGCAGGGCGGGCTAGAAGAGGTCAATGGGGGAAAAAGAGGGACATATATAATACTTTATTCAACAAAGATTTTAAAAAGGAGGATGGAGGCCCATTTCTTCCCATGAAGTCCCAATGAAGTTGTGAAACACAGATGCACGCACACAGGAGTGCACATGTAAACACTAATAAAAATCAGCTTGCAATCTGCTTCCCAATGTTTCTGCTTGAGGGACACTGAAGACTGGGTGCTGCCCTCCGTGCACAGCTGGGCTGTAACACAGCGGCACTCACCCGCCCCTGTAGATGGACTTCACAAGTTTCCAGGTTTCTGAAGCCTCTCTGAGCAAAAGGCGATGGGAACCCAGCAAAGCAAATGGTGCCGATGGGAGTCTCAGAATCCGGGTGGGAGAATGAAGAATGTTTGCAGAAGCCGATTCATGCCAGACCCACATTTGATAGCAGAATGAAAACCCTTCAATGATCCCTGAGCTGCACCTGGACCGTGTCCCCCTGCCCCACAGCAGGGACTCCGCCAGGACAGTATGTCTGTGATAACAGGCCTCCGTCATCTGGGAGACCTGGGTAGACAGATGGCCTGGGTATCCAAGAGGAATTCTGCAGGAAACACACACATAGGCCTCTAACTACAAGGCTGGTGGCTCATTCGCTCCAAATACATTCAGAGCAGCCGACACTTATGTATGTACACATGCATACAGCATGTACACATGCACACACTCTCTATTTTCTGTTCCTTAGGCTGGCTGGTGACCTACTAAATCGACCTCCTGACCCACAGAGCGGTGCCTGGGTCTAACCCAGCAGCCCTGTCCGTTGGGCTGGTTGCTCTCACCAGGCCCGGCCCGGCCCTGTGGCGGGGCTGCTGTGAGAACTGACCGGTTGCTGAGCAAGTGCTAGACTAGAGACTCCCACACAGGAAGTGCTTTTCATCTTAGCAGGAGCCGCATGCTTCGGCTTTATTTCCTAATTCAGAGTTCATTTTTATTGAATTTATAAAGCTGGGGAATATTACTTCTAAGAGCTGTTTGTTAACTGGTGAAACAAGGAGCGAGGCCTGTCAGAGGGCTGCTGCTTGCTGGAGGGGCGGCCCTGGACATGCGGAGGGAAGGGTCGGGGCAGGACTCAGAGCAGACTCCCGCAGGGACAGAGCGGAGGAAGTGGGGCACCACCAGGGAGGGGCCTAGCGGCCTGAGGGAGCTGGGACTTCTCGAGCCACCCCTGGGAAGTACACCAGGGGCCTGGGGCCTGAGATTTTTCAAACTATTTGTAAAGACAGATGGCTCTGCCTCGTGCCAGCGTCAGCCTCGGTCACGGGGCATATGTGTCATTTGAAGACATTCTCACTGCCCAGAGGCTGGGCTGAGCCGAACCACGGGCTCAGAAAGGCAGTCCAGGTGAAGGAAGGCCCGGATGTCCGAGTGCCTTACAAATGGCACCTGCCGTGTGGGGGCACGTGTGTTCCCAAACCACCTGATTCCGAGGTGACAACGGCATCGCTGATGTAACCACGGGCTCCCCCACATTCATCGCTCTCTCCTGGAAACAGGACAAGAAAATTGCCAAAGGACCACCCCGCTCCCCACCTCAATCCCTTCATCCCGAGACATTTTAATGGATGCAGATCCAGTGGTCTGCTAGACTCCAGGATGGTGACGGTCAGCAAGTGTTTCCTGTCAACGGCCAGAGAGTGAGCATTTTGCTTTTTCTGCTCATTTGCCGTTATATCACAAAAGCAGCCTGGACAATGTGTAAGCGATGGCCTGGGCATGGCTAGGCATGGCAGTTTCAGACGCATCTACAGAACAGGCTGTGGGCTGGCCTGGCCTGGCTCTAGTCTGACGCCGCTCTACCTCGGAGACCCACGCTCCGGCTCCCAGAGTGAGTGCGAGCACAGGCAGTGGCACGCCAGCAAACGCCTAACCCCAAGCTACCAGCGTGCGGGCAGGGGAGCTCGGGACCCAGCTTCAGGGTGCTCCTGAATGCGGCCGGAGTCCCTGCTCTGTGGGTTATGGGTTAAGTTCCGCCTGCACGAGCACGCGCTCCGGCACTCCTCCTACCACAGCGTCTCCCGCTAGTCACGGGCCTGGGACGCACGCAGGTACAGGCCTGGGTGTCACCCTGACTTTGAGGAAGAGCCCCCACCCCAGCTCACGCCCAGTCTGTCCATGCCAGAGAGGTGCCCTCTGGGAATCCCCACATACCCCAGACCCCACATTTATTAACACATGACAACTCTCACTGCTCTTTTATAGCTTTTAACCCAAAGGTTTGTTTTTTAACTTCAATTTTAGATCATTTTGCATGAAGCTACTTCTAAAAATTATCATCTAATAAACTAATTTTCCGAGGTGGTTTTCAAACACTTCTTAAATGTAATTCTAACTTTTAATAAAAATATAATCTGAAACCCCAGTATATAAGACAGTAAAGAGAAGACTACAAGTGGGTTCTTCAAGCGGCTTCACTCTCCAGGCCGGGCAGGAGAACTGTGAAATAGGAAACTCCTTGGTTCCTGGAGGTGGAGTTTGAAGACCAGTGTCTTCTGAAGAGTCCTTGTGCCTGAGGAATAAATGGAGTCAGAGGGTGAGTAGACAGTGCTATAGGCAGACGACGACAGCAGCTGTAGTAACTTCTCACAGCCAACACCCCACCTGGGCTCTGTAGCCAGTGTGCCACCCAGAAAGAGCAGGCGGCGGCGGTCAAGGTCACGGAGAGTGAGTGAGCGCGCTGCTCCGGCCACTGCAATCCTGGATCCGGGGTTTGGTTCGCTCACACTCACTGCCCTGCTTAAAAGCACCCATGTCTCCTGTAGGCACTGCTTCCCCTGCTTTAGTTTTAAATGTTTAAAACTTGTAACAGGTACCTTTACCCAGAGAACCCAATGAACCAGCCATTCAACCGAATTCAGCAGCAGCAGCAGCAGCGAACACATTGTTTGTGTTCTCCCTTCTCTCCACGGGCCACAGCTGGAGTGAGTACTCAGTCACTCCACAGACGTTCACTTACAACACTGCAGGGTATTCCCTCCTGCTAATGCACTCCAGCCCCTTCAGTCCTTCGGTCTTATGGCGCCAGAAAGCTCCAAAATGGGTTAACCACCTTCAGAAGGAGGCTGTGAGGGGCAGCAGACAAAAGGGACAAGGAGGCCTGCGGTCACCATGGGGCCCCACCTCATCCAGCACACCACGCAGTCAAATGAGCACCTCTTTGGCCGGGAGTTCACCATCCCCGCCTGTCCCTGCAGCGTCACTACCTCAGAGTGCGCCTGACAGTCGCTCCAGCTCAGTGCTCTCGGGACTGCCTGCTTCCTCGCTCGCCTGCTCCTGTGTTTACACTAAGAGTCAAGCCTGGGAGAGCGGGGCCAGGGCCTGTGGACTGTCCCCGGCCCTGTCCCAAGGCCTGGGACCCAGTTCGTGCTTGATAAACGTTTCTCAGTGAATGTACCACTTTAAACATCTCAGAACGCTTTCCAGCTACTCTGAAGTTAGAATGCACAGTTGGAAGCTGTAAAATGCTTTGAAGAATGCCACCCATCCCATTTATGACAGGAAGCGCTCCCCTTTCTTTCTAGTCCTTTTGATTTCAGAATTTACTGCTGAAGAGGAAAAGTCTGCCTGGGGAACATGATCTGGGAGGCCCATTAAGCCTCATTTAGAGATCCATTTTATAAGTGTAAACAGAAAGACAAGGCTCATGGCTTTTGAGAGTTAATAAGTCTAGCACTGCAGTAAACAAACCTGCTTTTTCAATTTGCGTCCTTAAATTAGATTTAACTTTGCTTTAAAGTGAGCTTACTGCTGGTAAGGGAAGCCTGCCAGGCAGCCAGGAGTGGGAAGGCAGCCGGGACAGACAGTATTTCCAGCAAGTGTTTTGTTTGGGGCGTCTCTGCTGGTCCAGTGTGGCTCATCTGCTCACTCTCCTGAGAAAAGATAGGAGAGCCGTCAGCGGAAAAGGATAGATTTCCAACATTTTACTTTGATCCTAGCACTTCCCATTTTTTTCTCTCACCTTACTCATTCTTATTCTCAAAGGGCTGCAATTGTAACATTATTTTTCTAACTAAAGGAAATTAAAAGCCACTCTGTTTGCTGTCACAGAGCCAGGTTAATAAATCCCCAGGCCCGGGGTTAAGACAACAAAGGAGGCATCAGAGGCCCTGGCTCTTTCTCAAGGGCTCGCACTGACCTTGCTCAGTCCGTCCCTCCGCCCTCACCTGCCTGTCAACTGTCTGTAACCGGCTGTCCCCAGGGATAACCTGAACGGCAGCGGCTACAAGACAGGGTCCTCTGCCACCTCTCCCGGGACCGCTCTCACAGCGATACTTCTCAGCAAGGGCCAAGGGCATGGAGTGAGGCGAGGCAGAGGTGACGACACACCACCACATGCACCCTCTGAGGCAAATGCTAACCCGTCTCCCTCCTTGGAGAGACTATTTTATTTAAGGACATTAATGCCATTAGTCAGCTGGCTCCAAAGGGCCGAACTTGGAAGCCCATGTTGGGTCCCCCTTGAAATACGCCCGGTTTGCTTTCCTTCCGTCAACACTGCACTGGCGCACTGCGCTCTGATGTGTCAGCCTGCAATCAGGAGATAGCACACTCCACCTGCTTTTTCCATTTCGTAACAGGTGACACAGGGCCTCTGCTGAAAAAAGGACTTTACTGTTGCCACAGAAGTGAGCACAAGTACGTCCTCTGACAAGCTCAGAAGGGACCCGTGCCTGGCCACGTCCCCCCCAGGGCCCCCACGCTGCAGGCTTTGCCACAGTGGCCAGAGGCTGGCTCTCGCGTGGGCTTCACCACGGGCTCCGCTGTCCCAACCACCGCGTGTCGGACACTGGTAGCTGCTGCTCTGGAAACCCTGGAGATCCAGGAAAAGTCCTCTCCAAAAATTAAGTACTGGGCACTGAGGATAAACAAACAGAGATGTTCTCTCGGGGCTTACAGTTCAGTAGAAAGTTTAAGAAAAATTCACTAACTGGCAAGTGTAGATATCCATGTCATGGAAGGACTTAACAGGGTGCAGTGAGGGAAGCGGGGAGACCCCGAGGTGTGGTCAGAAGACTCCATGTGCACTGAGAGCTAAAGGGGAAAAGACACTGCTACCGGACAGGGCCCCTCAGCCCTTGTCCGGCCATTCCATGTTCCACGAAAAACCATCCTCTCTTCTCCCTCCTTGATGCCATTTCTCCCAATGGCCTTCCCTAGCGGAGCAAGCGAAATGCACTCAAAAAAACAAATCCCAAGACTTCAAGGCCGAACTAAAACCATGAAACTCTTAGAGGAGACAAAGGCCTAGGTCTTCCAGACCTTGAATCAGGCAATGGCTTCTTAGAGGTGATACCAAAAATACAAGCAAAAGAAGAAAAAATAGATAAATTAGATTTTATCAAAATGAAAACTTCTGTGCTTCACTGTCAAGAAAGTGAAAAGAGCCATGGTTGTTGTGGCTCAGTTGCTTGGGTATGTCCCATGCACCGAAAGGTTGCCAGTTCAATACCCGGTCAGGGCACATGCCTGTTGTTTCGCTCTCACATCGATATTTCTCTCTCCCTCTCCCTCTCAAAATCAATAAAAAATCTAAAGAAGAAAGTGAAAAGACTATCCACAGAGAGAATATTTTTGCAAATCATACTTGCTAAGGAACTTGTATCTAAAATATATAAAGAACTACTATAACTCAGTAATAAAAGACAAATAAAGCAATTCAAAATGAGCAAAAGATCTGATCAGACATTCTCCAAAGATATATTAATCTATATAATAAAAACCCAGTGGTCGTAACGCCATAACGACCAAAGACTGATCACCAGGAGGCTGCGTGCGCAGCGAGGCATGCGTGGTGGGCGGGGACTTGGGGGAGTCCTGGGTCTTGTGCGATTTTGCGCGCTGGGTCACTAGTAGTCAATAAGCATGTGAAAAGGTATCCAACATGATGATGTTACCAAGGAAATGAAAATCAAAAGCACAACGAGATATTCTTTCATACCCAAGAAGATGGCAAAAACAGAAGAGACAATAACAAGAGTTAGCAAGGATGAACAAAAACTGGAACCCTCATACACTTGTGGGAGGATATAAAATGGTGCAGTAACTTTGGGGTAGTTTGGCAGTTAAAACTCAAAAGGTTAAACAGAGTTACCATGTGACCCAGCAATTCCACTCCTAGATACAGACCCAAGAAAAGTGAAAACACATCCACACAAAACGTCTTCACAGAAGCATTATACACAACAGCCCACAAGTGGAAACAATCCAAATGTCCATCAACGGATGAATGAATAAACACACATGGTTTATCTATACAACTGAAAATATTTAGTGACCAAAGAAAAAGACGTGCTGATACATGCTAAAACACGGATGATTACTGAACATACATGCTAACTGAAAAGAAGCTAGCCACAACAGTCACATATTATATGTTTCATTTGTATGGAAGCCCGGAAAAGGCAAGTCTATAGAGACAGAAACATTAGCGTGGGGCCGCAGACTGGGGGCAGGGAGAGATGAGAATGACCGATGAAGGGTACAGGGTTTCTTTTGGGGATGATGATAATATTCTATCGATTTTGGTAATGTGTACAACTCTGTGAATATGTGGGTGAATTGTATGATGTATGAATTATATTTCTCAAAAGTCTTATTAAAACAACCCAGGAATCAAGTTGGGGAATGCAAAGGGTACTATTCTAGGCAGTCCATTCCTGGGAAAACCACCTGGTGTCCTGCCGGCTGAGCCAGCTCTGGGCTGCTGCTCACGGTGGCTGGCTCCCCTGATGCCCACACACTTCCTGTGCTCAGCCTCGGCATCTGCTTCAACCAAGGTGGGGAGACTAGCTCGTCTATGGAACTTAGACCGCATGGGTCAAGGCTGCAGCAAGGCAACATGCCGACCAAGTAGCTTAACATTCACTAGTAGTGCCACCTTGTAAGTTCAGTTGGTCTTTAAATGTCAGACCCTGACATACAAAGTACCACCATTTGCACATCAATAGGTGTACGTTCATCTTTTAAAACATGTGAATCCGACATAATTGCATTCTCTTTGCTCTCAGGCACCAGCACGTTCCCATGTCAGAGGCACAGGTGGCCAGGGACTGTGGGATCTCTAGAGCGCTGCCCCTTCCTTCAGGACCGGCCCGGGGAGCTGCTCCAGCTGCTGGGCATGCTGAGGCTCATACTATCTGCAGTTCGCCAGCTCCACAGCTCCAAGACCCACTGAACTCTCAGATCCTGGTGTGCCACGGAAAGAGTGAGGAGAGAAAGATGCACAGGAAGGCACCGGAGGGGAAAGCAATCGTGAAAGAGATTTGAGCATGTTGGCAAAAGTGAGCCTTCTAGGGCAGCGGTTCTCAACCTGTGGGTCGCGACCCCTTTGGCGGTCGAACGACCCTTTCACAGGGGTCGCCTAAGACCATCCTGCCTATCAGATATTTACATTATGATTCATAACAGTAGCAACATTACAGTTATGAAGTAGCAACGAAAATAATTTTATGGTTGGGGGTCACAACATGAGGAACTGTATTTAAAGGGCCAGAAGGTTGAGAACCACTGTTCTAGGGCACCTATGGCACATGTTACATAAAAATGTGGTCCAGTTTACAGTTGTGAAATGATGGCAGTGCTCACAGACAACTGTGTGCTCCCTTAGCACGGATTTTAGTACAGAAATCTAACACAAAGGTGTGTACACTACTGACGGAGGCATGAAAAGGCCAGGAGCACCAATAAAACCCTAGGCCTTGATTTCTTTAAAGCCAAAAGGAACATGAGCTGTATGGGCCCATCGGCGCACCTTCCTGAGAAAGTCTGCAGAGACCGGGGGACACGCACCGTGGGGCAGACAGCGCCCCTGGCAGCCGCTGTGAAGAGGACCTGCTGCCCAGGACAGTGGCAGAAGCA